TTCAGGACCGAGCGCCGCTCCCTCCCCCTCCGGCCCGGCGCTCCCGCCGGCCGCCTCCCGGCCTGGTCTCTCCCTCCTCCCGCGGTCCCTCCCTCTGTTCCTCCTCCCTGTCTCCGCCTTTCCCTCCGCTGCCCCTGCCTCCTCTCCCGGCCTGTCCCGGCATCCGTTCTGTGTGCTCCTTCCAGCCGCCGGCCCCCGCCCCATCCCTACCCTTTCCCCGTCCCTGCCCCTCGGCGACTCCACCCCCGCCAGTCCTCACCTCCTGGCTGGTGTGTCTTGACGAGGGGACAAGTTTGGGGTGTTTATTATTCTCCCGCCTAGCAACGATGGCCGCCCGGCCCGAGCGGCCGCAGGCTGTTGGGGAGCATCCATGGCCCAGGCCCTGGCCTTTTCAGGAAGGGCAGTCGGCGGCAGGGCAGCCTGGGGATGTGGCCTCCCTCCCCCGCGAGCAGAGGCGGTGGCCTCAGGCCGGGGTCTCGCAGCCGCTGCCCAGGGTAGGTAGCAGGTGATGGCAGAGTGTGGGACATGGGGAGGAGGCTGTGCTGGGCCTGGACGCGGGCTGCAAACGGGAGCGAGCCCTGTCATCCGAGCCCCTGCTCACCCGGGTCCGGGGAGGCCTCTGCCGTTTGGCCTCTAGTGTCCGCCCCCAGTGGACCCTGAGGAAGGGCAGGGGGCCCAGGGCGAGGGCCTCTGACCGGCTGGAGCCACTTGGGGTTGATTTTTTCAGATCTCACCTGCCTGCCTGGGGTGGCTTGGGGGTATGCGGTGGTCACTTGGGCCTTCACGCATGGGCGGGGCCTGGGAGGGAGCTGAGATCTCTGGGTGTGGGCCTCACAGGACAGGGCTGGGGACCCCTGGCCCGCCGCCTCCACCACGGTGCCACTATGTCGTCACCCGGTTACTGGGTCGGTCGGTCACCTCTTAATCAGTCTCCTGCTTTACCTCCGCCTGTCCTGCACAGTGAGTCAGGGCCTGGACCCAGAGGACAGAGTCAGGGCTGGACTCGCAGGCTGGGGACCACGCACTTGCCCAGGGCCCTGTTTTAAAATTCTTCATAATTTTGAAAAGTGGCATTTTCATTTAGCACCGAGCCCCCCCCTCCCCCCGCCCCAAATGATGCAGCTTGTCATGGGCCCTCCAGGACGCCCAGGGCCCGGGACCCAGCGTCTTCGCCCTGGTTGCTCCCTGTCTCCCCCAGGCGTTCGCGTCTGCCTGCTTCCTTGTCACTCTGCTGTCACCTTCCCAGTGAGCCTTCCCTGACGTCCCTCCTTAAACAGACGCCCCCTCCTCCCCGGCTGCTGTCCATCCCTGCCCGCCTCCCCATTTTCCTCTGGGTCACTGGAACCTTGTTCTTGGCTTGGAGAGAAGCCCCATGATGCAGGGATTGTGTGTGGCTTGGTCACAGCCGTCTGTCAGAGCCTAGGACACTGCCTGCCGCGTGGCGATGCCCAGGAGGGTTTACCTGTGCGTGCGCACGCACTGCGCGACTGTGCCCAGGGCACTTGTGGGCGGAGCTTTGGGTGCGAGTGGAGGCTGGGTGCACATGGGTGTGGCCCAGACGTGTCTGCACGCTTGGTGCCTGTGCACCTGTGCCGGAGCAGTGACAGCTCCACCCGTGGTCTGGGTGAGCAGGACGCTGGGGGACAGGGTTCTGCTGGAGCGGGACCGAGGGCCTCAGCCGCCCCAGAGTCTGGTCTCAGGCAGCGTCGGCCCTTACTGTCGCTCGGGTGCCCCACTGTGCCCCTCACGCATCAGCCCCCCAGACCCGCCTTCATCGGTGCCCCCAGGACCTCAGCAGCACCTCCCTCCCGGGAGTTGGAGGGACTGCCTGATGCCCTGGCCACTGGCCTGGGGCCTCTGCAGGATGGCCACAGGTGACCACGGAGGGACCCTCGGTCTCCTCTCGGCAGTAGGAGTACTGATGGCTCAGAGGCTCTGTCTCCCCCTGGCCCCCGTGCCCACGGCCCATCCCAGAATGTCTACCGGAGGGAAGCGGAGCCTCTGGTTCGGAGTCTGTGTCCTGGGACGAGTCTGGTATCATGGACCTGGCACTCGGGGGGCCCTGACTGTGGGGAGCTGCCCCCGGTTGGGTCACGGGGACATACGTGGGTCCACATGCAGCTGATGCCCACGGGCTCAACCTCTGGCACCCAGAGACAGCCTGGCACCTGAGGGAGGACCGGGCGACCCTAGTTGGGGAGAGGTCCAGGGGACAGACACACAGAGAAGGGGACAGACATGCAGGTGGCCGGGCATGGCTGGCACCCAGCGTTTCTGGAAGTGGCCGAGCACTGGTGCCATGACTGTGCTGGGACCTAGGGGGCAGCACGCGTGAGTGACTGCACTGAGCCCAGGCCCCTCCGGGCAGGCGGCCGCCCTGACGACTCCTCCCGTCCCCCCACAGGGCAGCGCCAAGATGAGCATCACCTCCTGGTTCCTGGTGAGCAGCGGCGGCACCCGCCACCGGCTCCCGCGAGAGCTCATCTTCGTGGGGCGTGAGGACTGCGAGCTCATGCTGCAGGTGAGCCCGGGCGTCTCCCTCACCCTGGACCCGCAGGCGGCCGTGTGCGGGCGACGCGCTCACGGGTCTGACAGCCGCTCAGCTCCTCTCAGAGTCTCAGAGTCTCAAGGTGTCGGGGGACCCCGCTCAGAAGATGCTGGGAAGTGGGCCTGTCCATGCCCTTGTCCGGGGGCCCCGCCTGGACCGTGAGTCAGGCGGCGAACCACAGGCCAGCTCCGACCGTCAGGCCTGTCCACGTCGGCTGGCGACCCTTTGAGGCACTCTGGCGGGGCCTTGCTGGCAGGCGCTGGCCTCTGGGCCGTCAGAATGTTCTCCGGCCAAGTTTCAGAGTGCGCATTTGGCTTCCGTGCGGCTCCCGTGTCTGGCTATTGGGGAACAAGGAGGGGGCGGCGGGCCAACCCTCCAGGGAGCACCCTGGAGTGGACGTCCCTTTCTCCCTCACAGTGCAACTGAGTGGGCTTCTTGCCACCTCGGCCCCTCTGCAGAGTGGTACTGGCCCGAGGCCCCAGCCCCCCGGGCTGCACACCCCTGCTGCAGGGCTCTCGGGGCCAGAGACCCCAGTGGGCCGCACTGCCCAGTCCGCCCAGGGGCTGCGGGGTGAGGGGAGGCCTTGCTCGGCCCCGGGCCCCTGTACTGCCCTGGCCACCACGTGGGGCTTGGGCTGTGGCCAGGGGCCCAGCCACATGCATGTTCACTGGGCAGCAGGTGTTTGTCCCTGTCCCCCGAGGGCAGGCCCCGTGCACGTCTGCGGCCCTGGCTGCTCCCCCGGCGTCCTCGGTCTGCTCGGCTCCGGGTCCGGCCACGTGCTCACATTGCGTTGGTTGTTGGGTCTCCCGAGTCCCTTCAGTCTAGAACGGTCTCCCCTCGTCGCTTCTCGAAGCCGTTGGAAGTCAGGGAGACTGAGTTGGTGGCCCCGCGGGGTGTGTGTGTGTGTGTGTGTGTGTTCTGTAGCAGCCCGGGTGTGCGTTTGAGGCCAGGTGGGCCACACTCTGCCATCAGTTCCCGGCCCTGCCATGGTCGCTCTGAAGCACCCGCAGGTGTGGCCACAGCCGTAGTGCTTTATTTACATACCTTGAGATGTCATTTTCGTCACTTCTGTATCATGTTCATGGGTCATGGAATAGTCTTCATTTCTTACAAACTACTTAAAAAGGTAAAGACGGCCAGCCCACGTGAAGCTGGTAGGGCGCTGAGGCTGTGCCCCAGACCCGGTGAGTGGCCTGTGTGAGGCTCGGGTGCAGCTGGGCTCAGGGTCACCACATGTGGCCCCGACCCCTGGCAGGGCTCTGTGTGTTGGCGCTGCACCTGTGTGCTGTGTTGTCGGCCCTGCCAGTGGACCTGGGGTGACCAGGAGGGCCCCTCGGAGGAGGCGGCTCTTGACAGGAGCCTCTGGGGCCTTGGGGCGCTCCTCCTGCCCCGTCCGGCACTGTACCCGGCACCAGGTCCCCACTCTGCTTCTTCCTCAGGTGTTGGGAGAGGCCGCCCGGGCGGGAGGCAGTCAGGGCGAGTTTGGGTCTGATGTCTAGTTTCTGGCTAGTTTGTGGTGGAGCCCTGAGCAGGATGGGGCGACCCGTGGAAAAGCTGAGGTTCAGGGAGGGTGTGCAGGCGTGGAGTGAGTGGGGGTGCGTCCGCCTCCTGCGTTCACCCCTGCCACGCAGCTGTCCCCGAGGCTCCTGCCCACCCCTGCTCTGCTCACGGGGCTTGCACGGTGCCTCAGCGGCCCCGTCCCAGCCTCCTGCTGCCACCTGCCGCCTGGGCTTCTCAGACGCAGCCGAGCCCAGTGCCCCCGGACAAAACCCGTCATTCTCCGGCCCTTGGCCTGGGGTCCCCGCCAGCAGGAACATCCCTACCAGCCGTCCAGGGGCAAACCCCTCCACCCCACCGAGGACACGCCAGCCCCCAGGCCTCGGCTGGGCCCGGCCTCTTTCCATGCCCGTCCTGAGAAGCGGATGCCAGGGGTGGGAGGGAGCCGTGGGGACGGGGCATGGCGGGGGAGGGGAGGCCGGGGAGCAGGGCTGGTGTCCCAGTCTGGGCAGGAGGGATCGTGCCTTGGACCTGGGGGGCAGGAGGTGAGGGGAGAGCTGTGTTCTTGGGGCAGAGCCGGCCGGCCTGGCCGTGTGCCACCCCACGCTCTGCAGTGTCCTGGCTCCGGTGCAGGCCTGGCACGGCCGGAGCCCAGAGAGGACGTGTTAACGCCAACGTGAGCAGCCAACAGGCCCTGGTCCTCCTGGTGGCAGAGCCGACTGCCCGCTGTGCTGCCGGGGGCCCGGAGACCTTGTGCAGGGTGTGCAGATGCACACGCGGATGTGTGCACACGTGTGTGCGTGCATGGGTGCGTGTGCCTGTGTGTGTTGTGGCGAGATGGTCTCTGTGCTCCTGCCTGGTTTGCCCCATGGGGGCCGTGTGACACTTGGGACTTGTCTGCTCACATCCTGACCGGGAACCGCGGCCCACGGGTGGCCCGGGAGCCCCTGCACAGGCTGCAGGCCGAGCTGGCAGGAGAGGGTGCTGGCAGCCCTGGGCCTTGGTGCGGCCAGGTCTGCGTGCCTGGGCGGGGGTCCCCAAGGAGAGTGGCCGGCCGCTTCCGGAAGCCGCCTCTGCTCTGCTTTAGAGTGAGGGCACTTAGACCCTTTTCCAGAAACCGGCGTGTTTGGAGAGAGGAAGGCTGTTTGCGAGTGTCACAGCTGTCCCTCGTGCCCCGTCGCACGGAGCACCCCACACGGCTGGTCTGTGTCCTTTCACATCTCACGTCTGAGCCCCGGGCCGAGGGCCTGCCGCCACCTCTCGGGGGTAGGCCTCCCGCGCCTTGGCACCTGGGCTTGGCAGATACCCTTGCTTCCGGCTGGGGGTACCGGGGCGGGAGGGAGGTGGGTAGGCCTCCCGCACCTTGGCACCTGGGCTTGGCAGGTACCCTTACTTCCGGCTGGGGGTACCGGGGCGGGAGGGAGGTTCCTGGGGGTGGGGCTCCCTGCCTGTTCCCCAGGATCCTCTGTTACCCACAGTCTGGGGAGGGCGTGTGGCAGGAGCTGTGACTGGTGACAAGGCCCCGCTGGGAGTGGCTGGGACCGCGCAG